GGCAGTTTAACCTTCTGAGGATCTGAAGAACTTTTGAGGATCTGAGATCCAGTCCCAGCAGGTTGACTCTTCAAACTCTCTCTCTGATCAGAATGATCTTCTCTTGTTACTCTTCCAGATGTTGACTGTTTCTGGCCCCTGTTTCCTGTGGACCACCTGGGCAGGTCTTCTGTTACAAAACGCAGTAGACTCTCCAGAACTCCTCTGATCACCAGGGGGCAGTTGCAATCTCTAATCAACTTCTTCAACATATTGGCATCAGGAATGACATTGGTGCCCTGACAATCTGGTCTACGGAGAATAGAGGACACAAAATGTATTCCTTTTATTAATGTATGGCCAACGTTCCACTGTTGAAATGACAGCGCCATCATAAGGCTAAACATGCAGTATTTACTGTACGAGCAAAGCCAGGTTCCCTTAGAGAATCAGTAAACTGGACGTTTGACTCTTTAGTCTCTTCTCAGGGTCAAAGCATCATTCAGTACCTGAAGCACAGTGTTTCAGTAAGGTAAATATGTTACAGGTAGGGATGTCCGATATGAACTTTTTGCTGATATTTGATATGCTGATATTGTCCAAACACTTAATTTCCGATTCTGATATAAACCGATACGATTTGCCCTTAAAACTGAGGTTAATGTACAGTATATTTGGCAAAACCCAGGCATTGCGTTATCGGGTTTTCATTAAAAAATGATAACAATTCCTAGCGATATTACCTAATTATGCTAGTATTGGACTAATTATATCGGTCGGCCCATATTATCGGACATCCCTTGTTGCAGGAGATTAGAAAGGGGGGTGGTGGGCGTCGGTGCAACTTGAGTGTGCGATTTTATGGACTTTAACAAAAGCTCACCGTTGCGGTAAAAGATGCAGTTAAGAGAAAGAGACAGGCGCTTCATGCAGAGTCGTCTCCGTACATTTTAATAGTCTTGTCACATCAGTGTGGACCATGTACACTCCACAAACTCACCACAAGGTACACGTATGGAAAGATGCTATGCTAACTTAGCACTGGTGTGCAATAATTGCAACCACATTTGACATGCACTCATCATGTTTACCGTGTAACACTGAAGAACTGTTTTGTTTTTTTAAATCAACTTAGAAAAGACTCAGAAATCAGTTGTAAAGTGAGACCAACCAACATTAGATGTTTAAACAGTTCCAAGATGCTACAGAACTTTGTGATTAATGTTAATGAAGGTTAATCATAGAGAAAGAAAATATCAGCTCAGGAAATTATAGCATTGTTTTTTCGTGTTAACCACCACTCATTTTATTTCCCTTTTATACTTTATGTAGTCGATGCAGCATGTCTGGAGCTATTTGTGGTCTGCAACTTTTGTGTACCACAAAGTGTTAGAATGTATAACAATAGGCCACAGGCTGAGACCTGGTCACACTCGTGGGTCATAAATACGGTACATGTCATTAGATGGGGGGGGGGGATTTTAGAGTCAGGTGCAGTTCTGTTGATAGCCAGAAGGTGATTTAGGCCAGTGGAGGTCAATATTACTTGTCTGTGCATTTCTCTGCAGATGCTTTCTTGTACAGAGCCTCTCCTAACTCCTCCAGACGCCCCCTTTTGTCCAGATCCTGGTACAGCCCAGAGGGAACCTTGCTCAGTCCGTGGACGAGGCCGTAGAGACAGCCTGCGATCAGGCCTGTGGCTTCACTCTCACCTAAGAAACCAGGGTTGAACAAATCTTTAACATGAGTACGGAATGGTTTTAAATAATCAAGAAAAGCAGTTCTCAAACTATGGTAACCTGGTAATATTTATTTGTAACTGTACAAACCACAGTAAACCGAGTTGCACGTACCAGCATTCTGCTATGGTAACCTGGTAATATTTATTTGTTTAACTGTACAAACCACACATTCAATCCACTGACTATTAAAATAAATTAATAAAATGAACTGCAATGCTGCCATCTAGTGGCTTTCCCCTTTATATACAGCTGTTTTCCCCCAAACTATTTTTAGGGCACACATCATTTGGCGTACTCAGGCTTGTGTTATCAGGTTTTCATTATTGGAGGAAAAACCTATTATGATTGTTGCTGATATTACACAATTATGCTACTATAGTTCTAGTACTGAAATTACAGTTGAAGTACTACTTCATTATACAGCTTCAGGGTTTCCTCTCTTTTACAGGAATTTTTCAGGACATATTCAACTGTTACAGCTAGCATTCTTATCAAACACTGATTCTTAACTCAAGTCCAATAATCAGACGTTGTATTTTATCGTTGGTCAGAATGTTGGACTGTTCTTCTCACCTCCGTGGAACATGGCCCGCTTGCACAGTTCAGCCCAGTCACTGCCTGCGGCCAGAAGAGCATCGTAGGCGATCATGGGGGCATCGTGACCCCTGCGGCCCGCACGACCCTCTGAACTCCAACGTTTGTACATCTGTGTGGTCAGAGAGGTGCACCGTTACACACAAACGTGCCTTTGTTTGGACCAGTGTGGACAAAGAGACTGGACCGACCTTGTCCGTCTCATCAGGATCGTAGGGTTCAGGAAACGCAGGCTTGTTCTGTCCTTCCTCCTCCAGCTCTCTCTCTTCCAGGTAAAACTGCCACTTGGCCTCAAAGTAGAACCAGTTTTCCTGGTACTCTGCATATAAACAAGTGACAACAAGTGACATCCCTGGTGTCAGACTGACACACCAGTCCAGTGGAGGGAACTTTAAATGAGATGATACTGAGCCGTACCAGCGATGTGTCGTATGGTCTTCCTGCAGTACTCCTCAGCCCGAGGGATGACCTTCATCAGCTCCCTGCCCCAGGTTACAACAGGTTTGCCCTGGATCGCATACGATGCAAACAGTGCCGTGGTCAAAGAACCAAGGAAACCTGGAGTCGAGAACCGTGGGAAACCTCACTTCAGCATTTGACAGTTTTAGTCACCAAACAAACCAAGCAAGTCACATACTGTGAGAGATTGCCTATGGCGCCATCTCCGGGAGAGGCCTAAGCTGTGCACCCTTGAAAAACACATTTGAATAATAATAATAATTATAGTAGGGGGCAAACATGTAGTTCCTCTGGGAATCAAACCCAGGACTCTCTGCTCTCTGCTTCCAAGACAGGCATGCTACACTATGGAACCGACCAAAATAAAGGTCATAGGGGGCGCTATACCATAATCACGCCTAGTTCACTGACTGTGGTCATTCTTCTAGTCAGAAAAACCAGCACCAACACGGTCACCTGTGGGGTGGTTGTGGGTCATTCTGCCGGTCTCCACGCTGACCTCCACCAGGCTGTTGATCCTGTCAGGCTGCCAGTATCTCATACCCACACACATGGCCTTAGCAGCGGCACCAAACCCCGACCCTGGACACGGCAAAACATTTATTTACACTTTTCAGTCAGGCCCACACTTGTGAATGTGTTGCGTACTGTTGGTCTTCACACACCTTTTTCATTGAAGGGTGTGTGCCAGGCCAGCAGGTAGTTGTGAGGTTTGAGGTAAACACAGCCCTCCACTGTAGCTGGATCTGGGGCTCTGCCCTGGAGGGAAACCATGGCCTCGACATTGACACGCACCAGCTCCCGGTACAGGTCCTCTAAACACCAGTAATCTGGACACACACACACACAGTTACACTCACTTAACAAAACAAAGTGCCTGAGAGTCATTCATGCCTGGCATGCAGGTGGAGATTAGCGGTGCAGTGGTGAGCTAACTTTAGTCTCTGGCTGCTGGGCCGCAGATTAGAACCAGGATGCCTTTGACCTGGAGTCAGCTGTGCAGCATTAGGTCAACTGGGAAACGAGGCACAAATCTGGATCTCTGAATCTCTAAGTAAATGGTGCAGGTCAGAGGTCACACAGAACTGTATTGTTATATTTTATATATATGAAAAAGGCATAATTTTAAGTTGTATTTCCTGAGAAATGCAACACAGAATCATTACCTCCGTGTTTGAGAGCCTTCATACATCGGTGTAGATTCAAGAACTGTGCAGATCAGCAACAACCAAAGACGCAGTACAGCAAGTAAATATAATTATTATAAAATATTACTGGTGAAATTAATTCAATTAGGTAAAGAAAAGAAACATGAAAACCTGTATGTGTGTGTGTGTGTGCGTATGTGTGATAGTGACAGACATGCTTAACTGTGGCTAAATGGAGCCTGCTAATCTCAGTAGATTCCGTCACCATCTCTGTGGGAGAGGTGACACTGTGCCGCGTTTGAAGTCCGTGCCACAGCCGACCACGACAGCCGCAGCAGAAACGGCGCCGTCTGAGCCGCCATTGTTCGGTGAAGAGAACCAGGGATCAGCTTCTCCAAAGAGATCTATTAATGACTGCGTCGTCGCAGTCATTCTTGTGTGGCAACATTAATTCTGTGCTGAGGTTTTCCCTGGAACACTGGGTTCTGATCATTAACGTGCCTATCATTTTGACATACGCCAACATCATCACTGATGACATGTTTGTATCGTTCATCTTTACTTCTGTGTCTGGAGCACTGTCATTTCTTTAGTGTTTGATGCTCAATATAAAAATATATGTAATATATATTTTATACATATGTATATGTAATATACATATATATGTGTAATATGGATGTATATATATGTAAGAAGATACTATATAATACAGTAGTAAATATATATTTTCTAATTCTTAAACAACCAACTAACTAAAAAATATCAGTGTGATGACTGTAGGAGTGTGTATTGGGAATAATCTGGCAATATGATATGTATCACAATACAGGGGCAATTATACAGTATATTGTGATATACCACCATAGTCTATACACGGCAATATATACAGTAAATACGTTTATATATATTTATATCTTTTTTTTTCAAATTGATTGTAGTAAAACTGTCATCATAGTAAAAACATCACCTTAGTAACATTGGAACAGAGGGATCTACATTTGAAATGACTGGAGAAGAAAGAAAAGAAAGATAAAATGAACCAACACCAGAAATATTTGACTGGTAATTGGTAATTAAAAAAATCCATACAGTACTGTAGAATATGGATACGGTATCATGTAACAAAATATCGCAATATTTCATCGTATCGATATTTTCTTACACTCCAAAGTGACTGGAGTCTTGACCAGAACTGAAACAGGAAACTCCTTCTAAACAAAGAAATCTGTGTGTTTTACACAGATTCCATTCAAAACCAGACTACATTCTATAATAATGTGTGATTTTCACCTGTTATGAGAGCCTCGGCTGTGGTCATGTGCATCAGTGTTGCATCACTCAGGGGCCAATTATCAGGATCCAGTTTTAAGGCCCCCAGTCCTCCCAGACTGGCCAGCTCCTCCTGGATCTTCTTGCCCGACGTGCATCCTTCCCATCGACCCTTCCTGTAGCCCAGAGCATCTCCGACACCACCCAGGACCATGCCTGCCTTAAATTTCTCCATGATACTGGTCTGTGCTGCCGTTGGCTCACGCAGCCTAAAAGTCCTCCTGCTGGAGAGTCTTCCTGGGATCTAGAGGATTCCTTCCACAAACAAATGCGAGGTGAAAATTCTTTCAGCTGCTTCGGTCCAAGACGAAAAAAAAAAAAAGAGGAATCTTACCTCCGACAGAAAACCTGACTTCTGTTCATCATAATCACACCACCTGATTAAAGTCTTTCAGAGTTTTCTGTGAGTCTGTCAGTTCTCGGCAAAGTGCTGACACACACACACACACCAACGTACACACAAAGGCATCACACAGTCCAGCAGGGCTTCTGTGTGTCGGGCACTGTTCCACTCCACTGTGATCAGGTGTCTCCTAAAAAGGCCATCCCCACGGCCCTGGCGTCTGAGAGCTGAATGGTTGGGTGTGAGAGGGGAAATGGGGGGGGGGGGGGCAGTGACAGAAATGCAAGGGTGTTGGGGGG